AGCCAATTCACTTCGTGAACTCGGCAACCAGGTAACCGTTTTTGTTTTTTTTACCTCCGGTTTTTTTTTGGCAGTAACCGTAATGGTGGTCGAGTAGATCATGTTGTGAGGGGTGGAGAACCCTCACTCCGCGCAAGGGGGATGATCGCACCACGTTGTGTTAAAATGGCCAAGCACCCTCGAGGCAGTTACACAGTGCTTACAACTGTCTCTGGAAGTGAAAGCACCAGAAAATAAATTAATTCATACGCAGCTGTCATCCGTACGCAAGGAAGTAAGCACAAGATGCCGAACACCCTTAGCAGGATGCAGCGCACCCTTCNCTTGTCTCTGGTAGACCTGGACCTCTTTTTTCCGCCTCCGCTGCTGATGCTACTCCGAGCACGTGTGCCACTTTTCCGCCTTTTGCCACCACCATCACCACCACCACTTCCACCGCTGCGCCTGCCGCTGCCCGCTCCTGCCCCCCCGTCTTCGGACACTCCCCACCCCTCCTCCTGCTCCTCTTCTTCGTAGGCCCTCCGGGCGCTCTTCTTCCTGCCGGGGTCGGCTCTGTCCCCGCTCCCGCGGGTCACCCGTGACGGACGCCTGCGGGCGGTGAACTTGCCGGACTTGACCCTCCGCTTCCATATCATCTTTCCCGTCACGTCGTAGATAGTGCCGTCCAACATGATGATCTTGGGGTCCAACAGCTTGCGAGAGAACGACCCCTGCGGGAGGGAGAGAGACAGGTTCGAAGGCATCGACAAGGAAGGCGGGGGCGGTACTTGTGTGTGTCGCTGGTGGGAGAACGGGGAGGGTTGGTTTCTTTGGCGGCCCTCCTCCGCCTGACTGACCCATCGCTACCTACCGTAGGCGTTGTTATGCGCTCTCTTGAGGCGGGTCGATACCAACACGTGCAAGAAGGCCAAACAAAGAGGTCCCACAGAACACACGGAAAAAATAAAATCCACCAAGAAATGAGATGGCGCGTACGGCATGATAAGGCTCGAGGATCCCGGTAACAAACAGCGGTTGGTCCCGCACATCGCTTGCCACCGATTTCGGCGTGGACGTGAACGGCTTACGTCTGCAATAATTAAAAGCCAGCGTGAATGAGGCATGCGGAATCCCCCCTCCCTTCCCCGGCTCCTTCCTGCTTAAATTGGCGAACGCTCAGGTTCTCTGGTCTTAAACAACAACAGGAAAACATAAAATAGCATCACAAAACTTGCTTTTTCCTGGCATAAATACCTTGTACACCTTCCAGACCGGTTCCTCATCCCACGGCCCCTGGAAAGCCTTGGCTTCGAACTGCAGCGTTATCAGTGGAGCAACCGTCGCCGCCACCGACCAACCAACCGAACGACAAACAACCCGACCCCGGAACAAGCAAACGGCAAGAAGGGGATGCGTAGCAACGTGGTTAAGGGTCCAGAAAGCAAAGGCCATCCAAAGGGAGATGCATCTGTAGCAGGACCAAAAAAATGAGACCCAACGTCGAGATATGAGAAAAATACGCAAATGCGAGCGCTTTGATTGGTACCGCTCTATGGCGAAATGGCAAAGAGCTCGCCATTTCTGTGTAAACGTAGTCTGGTCTGGCACGACGAAACCCGTTGAACTGAGTGAGGGCTTCTTGCCAAGACGGCGGGTTATGATAGCGTGGTCAGTCGTCGCGTCTGGAGATAATGCTGCAGACAGAGAGGATTCACTAAGCTGAAAATGACGGCTCGCTGTGCAAGGAGAAACAAATCGAGGCAAGAGCAATTGTGAAGATGCAGCGCGCGCCTGTCGGGCTTCCAAAAGTGAACAACACACAATAAAAACATAACCCGCTCTAAATTTCCGCAGTCATGATTAACGCCGAGCGATTATCGGGGCAGCGAAACAACTCAACAACCGTCTCACTGCAGCCGCTTTCACCACCATTCGCGAGCAGCTGCAACGCCATCCCCACGCGATTTATTGCCGTTCTTCATTGTTGCTGCTATATGCATGTACGTACCTCGATGGTGCAGGCCCTTGGCCAGGCGTGCGCCCGGAAGGTAAAATCGGAGACGGTCTCGCGTCCGTCGAAGGACGTCGCGACGGTGCCGTCCCTCCGAAACTCGACCGTAGCCGCGCACTTGGTGACCCGCCCGGGCGGCTTACCGACGACCTTTTATTTTTTGGGGGGAGAATGAAGGCGTGTTGCGCTTTTCGTGCGGGGATATCAAGGGTGGGCGGGTGGGTGGTAGGCGGTGGTGCTCGGAGGCACGAACTGTCGAATTATAAAGAGCGATGCTCAACTTTTGTGCCCTCGGAAACACACATGTGTTGCGTAGTACATCTGTCCGTACCCAAGCAAATGAAAACACGCGTACAAATACAGTGGGAGATGGCAAGTCTAAGGCAAAAAACGCTAGCCCCCCCGCGGCACAAAGGGCACTGCGAAGAGCTGGTCTTGACAACAAAACACACACACAACGCATGCGCGCTTCGGGAACCATTTTCTTGTCTGTCCCGCGAAAAAGGGTCAGTGTGCCTCCGCATCGCGCGGCAGAGGGATCCAAAGCAAAAACACACGATCACGGCGCCTTCAGAAACACCTGCTCGATCTTCCACGTGTCTAGGATCTCCCCGAGGCCGACGGACTTGGGCTGCAGAGCGTGCACCATGGCCTTCATCGACTTTCCCGTCGCCTTCCCGACGCTCTTTATCACGCCGCCCGTCGCCTTCGTCTTCTGTATGCTGGACGGCGACGACGCCCCCGCCCCCGTCCTGCTCCTGCTGCGGCCGCCGCCGCTCCCACCGCCGAAGCCATCATCGTAGTACGCGCGGCGGTTCGAGCTCGACCTTGCGCCACCAACGGCAAGGGCGCCTGCTTTTGGCCCCTGGGGGCGGCGGCCGGGGGCGGGGCGGCGACGGCTGTCGCTGCTGTAGCGTCCGCTGTCTCGTCGTCCGCGGCTGTCGTACGCTCCCGCTCCGCCGTGCTCTTCAGAGAAGTCGTCAAACTCGTCGTCGTCGAGACTATCAATAGCACCACCGTCACCACCGCCGTCATCATCTTCGTCTCCCCAGTCGTCGTCGTCGTCGTCGTCGTACTCCTCCTCCTCGTCCTCCTCTTCTTCTTCGTCATATTCCCACTGCCCTCCTTCCACCCCGCACGACTGCTTTTACGAAAGAAGATCGCGTTCGGAGAGAGAGACTGAGGGAGGCACGCACCACCCCGGAATACGGTGTAGCTTGAGCACGAGACGAGCGGATCCGCAATGCTGCTGTGTATTTACTTCCGACATGGGTGACAGTGCCAGTTTCTTTCGCAGGCAGTTGTTTTTTTGTTTGGCCGGGAGGTGAGTGTGCGTTTCTCACGGCTTCAACGACAGACGACAGATGATGTCGCCACACCACGGATCCCGGTGGCGCGAAAGATAGGAACAGAGGTGATTGCACGAGAGAGCGTGCTTTGCAAGGGCAGTTGCCACGGCATTCCATCTCCGTGGACGTTGTAGTCTCAGCCAGTGGCACAACGTGGGCAGCGAAGTAAATTTTACAATGCTACTCCTATCTACCACCTGCAGCACCTGACTACACACAGCCTGGCTCTTTGTCGACATTTCCCTTCCCTCCACACAGGATGCCTGCTGCGGGCACGACACGCGTCGCATTCTTGTGAATGTGTCTAGACTAGACCACATGTAGGTGACATATCATCAACGTTAGGACAACAAATTAAAAAAATGCAACGAAACAGAGCATCACGAACTTTGCACACGTCGGATGCAACGGTCACGCAAGGCTTCACCAACTACTGCTGTGTCCTCGCGACGGCGTTTGGTAAGTGGCGGTTGGTGCCAGGTTTCCAGCACTGGATGCCGCAGACATGTACATGCATCAGCTCGTTGTTACCTGTCCTTCAGTACCATCCCTTCTCTCCCCCAACACGGCCCCGATCACCACCGTAGGGGAATCCACCCCGCCGGCGGAGCAACCGTGGTCGGGGGGCACTGCATCGTCTTGACGCTTCCTTCGCTCCGCGATCTTCCTTGCCGTCAAGGCCCGATCTACGGCGCTGCTGCCGCCTCGATCTCCGCCTCGCTGCCTGCTGCTCGCCCTGGGCCCTGTGCTACCAGTTCGCGCGGCTGCTGATGCCCCGTCCACATCGGCATAGAACGCCAAAATGACGATTAATAGAACCCCACGCATGAAGGGTGTCAGGATAGAGGCGTGCTTGCTTGCCTGCTGTGGTGGAGGACTTTCCAGGCACAGAGATGAGCAGCACCAGAGCACCAGCAACGATGGTGAGGGGCTCCGCGGAATCGATCGGTTTGCCGGTTGCGCCGCATGTGGTTGCAGCGCACCATACCCCTGGTCCCTGCTGTGCTCTCTCGGTTTCTCTGTAGTCTTGTACCCTCTTGCCCTGCAACTCCCTTGGGCGCCGTGAGAGGATGTACCGCCGTAGACCCATTCTTTGAGGCTTGTGTGACAGTATTCCTTTGGGAGTTCGAGAAAGACGAGACAAAAGAGGTGGCGGACACCTGAAGAAGGCAAGGGAATGGCGGGGCGGTTCGAATATCAGCCACCTCCGCCTCCTTCCCCATCGGCAAGCGGAGGCAGCACTAGCGAATCAAGCGACGAGAACAGCAGCGACCACAGCGACCATGATGACGACGTCAACATCCCCAGCAGGCCGCAACCTCGACCTACTTCTGGGGATGGTGTCGACCGTCCGAACAGCAGTGGCGGTGAACGGTCTTGGTCGGTCCTGTCCGCCTCCGAGGCGCAGACGACGGCACGACCAACACCAGGAGCAGTTACTGCAGCTGCACCAGCACCAGAGACCGGAGAAGCAGCAGCGATGAGCGCGAACCCTCCTGCATCGCCGCTGGTCTCCCTACCGTCGCCTAGCCGTAAGCGAGGTCGCGCACCGTCGAGGCCTTCATCAGGGGGGGCGGTGGCTCAACCTCGCCCGCAGCCACCATCACCACCAGCACCCGCAGGCGATACACAACCCGCGGAAGAAGCAATAGCTCATGGGCACAAATCTTCGCCAGCTCGGGCGTTTGGCCACCACAGCAGCATCGCATCGGCAGGGCTAGAGGCCACGGATTCAGCGCCGGCGGCACGTGGAGGCGTGCAAGACAAGATCCCACGCCAGGCATCTTGTTCACCTCGTCGAATCTCTGATCGGACACCCGTTGTTCCTAGAACATCGGCGCCGGCCGGCGAAGAAGCGAATCTGCCCGAGTTGGCAGAACCGACACCCCAACAACCAACAGCTCCGAGGATATTTCCGCCGAATCAAACGCAGGTGCGGGGTAGTGAGCTCGCAGGGGAGGCGGATGCCGTGGATTCGGGGAAGCCGTCTTCCTCGACTCCGCAAACGTCGGCAGGAGGACAAGCAGCAGCCGCAACGGAAGCGTCGACCGCATCCTACCTACCATCGCTTTTGGCTCTACCGCGGGCGACATCGTCGCAGCCCCGTCAGCGAGGCCGGCAGCGGCCGAAGCCTGCACCGCAGCCGTCGGCAGCGGAGCTTGAGGCTCCACCAGAGACAAATACACAAGCGGCCGCGGAGCGAGTTCCGCCGCCCGACGAGACGGGCCGCCCTAGGAAGACTCCGTTGCCACCCGCTGCAGCAGACCAAGCTGCTACTCCGGACTTGCGCAAGAGGGGCCGTCAAAAGAAGACACCGTTGGAGCCTGCTCCATCAGGCGAAAAAACGACTCCGGACCTGCCTCGCAAGAGGGGGCGCCCACGGAAGACACCGTTGGAACCTGCCGCATCAGACGAAACGACGTCTCCGGACCTGCCTCGCAAGAGGGAGCGCCCGAGGAAGACACCGTTGGAACCTGCTGCATCCGACGAAGCTACGACTCCGGACCTGCCTTGCAAGAGGGGGCGCTCGAGGAAGACACCGTTGGAACCTGCAGTAGCAGACAAAGCTACGACTCCGGACCAGCAACGCGCAACCTCGTCGAATTCTGCGCCGCCTTCTCCAGTGGGCGCGCCAACGCCAAGGCAGGTGGCGGCAGCTGTGGGGGCAGCAGCAACGGTCACGGCCTCGCCACAGCCGCAACCTCCAGCGTCATTGCAAACGGCGGGAAACATTGTGCGGCAAGCCGCTTCGCCAACTCGTCAAAGGAGATCTCCAAGGATTGAGGATGCTGCGAGTTTGGGTCGGCCGGAAATAGCACCGACATCTGAGGGAACAACACCAGCGGCCGCGGCAGCTAGACGACAGCAACGGACAGAGGCGATTCCGGAGAGATCATTGCCTATTCGTAAGCGGAACCGTCCGACTAACACCACCCCGCCGTCGGCACCTGCACTGGCAACAGCAGGAGCCCCTCGGCAGACTGCCAACGAAGAAGAAGGCGACGACGGCAGCAGCAGCAGCAGCAGTGACAGCAGCGGCGATAGCAGCTGGACAAGCGGTGTCAGCGGCATCAAAGCCAAGAGAGGGAGCACCAATACCAACACCACCGCCAAGCTTGCGACGGACTCCACTCGTTCGACACCCACGGAGAAATCGAGGCCTGGTGTGTTGCGTGGTCTTCCCCCCTGTAGACCGGACCAGCAACGTCTCCCTGCAGAGGTAAGTTTTTGCGCACAGCGCTGTGATTCGCTTTTGAGTCCCTCGAAGAGGCGTCGCAGGGTTCATGCTTTCTACGAAAGCTGTTCTTTTAGATTATGTCGATGTTCAGCGGATGGAGATGGAGCGCTGAGGTAGAGCAGGGTTTTGTGTTGCGTGGGTTGTGATAGATGAGGCAGTGAAACGTTGCATGCTTGTTTTGACCAGCGAGCATATTGGGAAGCCTCGTGCAGTAGGGTTTGCTTCTTTCGTGTCATTGTTTCATGGCCGTTTTCGCTCTTTGGTTTTCGGCCCCACATTTTCAACCACGCCACGTCTGCGCGAATTGCTCAGCCACGAGAGGAGGTGGACATCCCCGCAGGAGGGAACGCCGATGGCAGCGCCGAGACTGGAAGCAGGAGCGGCAAAATGCGGCGGAAGGCGCAACGGTCAGCGGGCCAGCGGCAGCAGCAGCAGCAGCAGCAGTCCCCGGAAGCAAACCCTCCTCCAGCGAACCACGCGCAAGACGGTGCTGGTGCCGACATTGGTAGGCACGTGGATGATGGTGGGAGTGCAGGAGACTGCGGCGAAAATTTTGGTAGCGGCGGCAGCGGCGGTAGCGTTGATGGTGGTAGCTGCAACGAGATGAACGAGGGCGGTTTTCACGTCGCACGGGAAGAAGAGGGGCGCGTCGCTTCGGTGAGTAAGCTCATGGGAGACATCGCTTTTTTTAAGGTTTTAGTATGGGGTTGTTCCTATGTCCATCGATGGAAGTGAGACCGATGGTCGGCCTTCAACATGTTCGACACGAAAGGGGGCAACTACGCAAGTTGGTTCTTATCCAATGAGAGAACGTCGACCTGACACCGATGACTTCCAACGTTCAACCATACTGTCGTAGACAGGGAGCAAAAATGCAAGACAAGGTGCGTAGTCTCTTGGCCTTGGAGTGATAACCTTCGCCGTTCTCACTGAACACCTGTTGGAGAGACAAGGTTCCGTCGGAACTGCTTGCAGCGAACACTTTTTGGGGTAGTTAACCTGCGACCACGGACGATATCCGCGTCATTTGGGCCAGAACGGATGTCCATTGGTACGTGTGTCCACTTACCTTGCCCAATATTGAGTTATAGCAGCTTCCCTGTAGGCAGCCGATTCAGCAAGACTGTTTGGTGAACATCTTGCGTATCCGACTCACAAGTATCTGCCAGGTTTCTTTTCGAATACACTAGGTTGTCGGGGAAGACCCCCCCCCTCCTACACACACATCAGCGGTCTTCTTATTCTTTTGTGCCGATGTCTCCGCCCGCTTCGGCCATAACTCACATCCAAGCTGTGACCTCGCTCCTTGACTCCATACGGTCCGTTCGGGATTGCCATTGCGGCTGTGTGGTGCGATTTCCGCTACCTTGTAAGGGTGAGAAATACGCAACATGAACGAGGAAGCTGTTCATCACTTCAGGCTCTCCACTTTGCACAATTCATTCTTTGGTTCCGTACCGTATGACGATCGAGCCCCCACCCCCTACCTCCCCTTGGACTCCCCGATCCATGAGACATGTTCTTCCGCCGCTCTTTGACTGTCCTTTCGCATCACACCGTACTCTATGTCATGATTTTAGTCCGAGCAGCAGGTAGATGGGTCTGTGAAAGCCGGGGGGCCGGGGAAGACGAAAAGGTCAGCAGTCGGCAGCGGCGGACTGCAGTCCCAATCACGACGCATGGCGCGGGAGCTGGCAGACCCTCCAGCGGGGAATGAGCGACATCGTGGTATTCCCCGATCAACCCGTGGCGGCGGAGGCGGAACGAGCGATGGCAGCAAGGACGAGACTGAAGGGCCGACTACCACCAGAGATGAAGACCTTGCTTTGGTGAGACTCTTGTCGCAGATAACTGTATGGTCAAGGCGAAGAAAACAGGAGATCCTGCTTCGTTGGACCTACTACTGCTGTGAAGACGCAGCAGGATTTTGTGTTGCGAGACTCCTGGTAGAATGTTTCGGAGGTATGACGTCGACGCAGCAGACCCTCGTTGTCTTGGCGAGACCTTGTTTTGGAACAGCCGCAAGGCTGAGGCTAGGGAGGATTTATCTTCGGGCCATCACTGTTGTCGTTCAACAATATTGTGTAGGTTCGCCCGTTGCTTGGTTGGCGTGATGCTCGGCTGGCAACATTTTTTTCCCGGGGTTCGCTTTGCGTTGCGCCTCGGAACTGTCGTACGAGGGCGACAAGCGTGTCAAGCTTTTGGGATGTGATCCCCTCTCAGCTGCTGAGGGTTCATCGTAGATTACGCCGCCCGCGTTGGCGCTGGTGCCATGGCGCCTACTAGTGCAATGAAATTCGTCGTTGGATCAGCTCTGTGACAATACGCAAGCCAAGCGTTGCGGTCATGATTTCGAACCAGCTGTGTTTTTCGTCGTCACCCTTTGTTCTGCTTGAATTGAATTTCAGGTCAGGGAAATGCACCAAGAAAGGGAGGGTCTCTTGGCCGTTCGTACGAGGTTGCGCAGGGAGGTGGTAACCTTGCAGGACGAAGAGGACGAGCTGAGACTTGTGCTCGGGCTTCCCCCCGCGCGATCGGAGCTGGTACTTGCCACCCCGCCGCCACTGCCGCCGCCAGTGGAGCCATCGGCGGCCGTGGCACCGGCGGAGAAAAAACGCAGACCAAACCCTCAGTGGCGAACCACGCCGCCCGCACAGGGCGAACCCAGTGTCGCCACCGGCACCTCCTTCTGCTCCTCCTCCTCACCAGCTGCCGCTAATGGTCCCAGTGTTTCACCACAACGCCCTTCACCCAGTGTCGCCATCGGCGCCTCCTCCTCCTCGCCAGCTACTGCTAGTAGTGCGGGCGCTTCACCACCACACGCTTCACCCAGTGTCACAACCCCCTCCTCCTCGCCAGCTGCTGCTTTTAGTGCGGGTGTTGCACCGCCTAGCGTTTCACCTCCCCGGACGGAGCGGAGCCCGGTTGCGGCTGCCAGTTCGAGAAGCAGCAGCATTGCGGCCGCGTCTAGCCCCCAGGCGCTAGCATCGACCCCCGGAAACGACGACACGCCGATGGGGTCGCCGCTCTCGCTGCTCGTGCCGGGTTCCCCGGTCGGCTCTTTTGACCCCGCATCCGGCGAAAACGACGACATCGAGAAGCTTCTGCTCGGACTCGACTCCATGACAGGGGACGACGACAACGACGACGACGATGATATCGTTGCACCGGCAGGAGGTTTGGGGGGACTCCGCTACCGTGGAGCAGGGCCTGCGCCGCTGCCGCCGCCGCCGTCTTCCGGCGGAGCGCCTATCGGGGCGAGACAACAGCCGTTCGCAAGACAACGCACTGCTGGCAGTGGGCCGCAGCTATCTGGCCGCCGAGGGAGTGGTGGATTGAATCAACCAGAGAGCGTAGCAGGGCGTGGGACTGCCGTTGGAAATGGTGTCCGCGGACAACAGCAACCGCGAAGGGGTGAGCAGCTGCTGTCCTCTGGGAGAGGAGGCGTCGCTTCGGGCGGCAAGGGTCGGGGAAGGGGCGCGAGGCGGGCGCCGAACTACCTGGACTTGAACGCGAGCTTCCTGCGCCGCCCTGCCGGCAGGGGTGTCGCGTCGGCTCGCGGCGGCAGGCTCGGCAGCGGAAGCCGTGGCGGTCGTGGCGGCGGCGGACGAGGCCCTCCGGTAGTGAGCTCAGGGCGAGGAGGGCGGCGCAACGGGCCCGTCAGGGTGGGGGGAGGGAGTGCAGCAGCAAGACCAGGAGATGGAGGGTTGGGATCCGGTGCTTCTCATGGTGGCCGCGTCGGGGGACGGGGTCATCTGGTACGCGGAGCGACGGGTCCAACGGGAGGGCCGCATGCGCGAGAAGTTCGAGACAAAGAGCTCGTGGGCGTAGCACAACATTCCGAAGAACAAACCTCTACCGGTGGAGCTAGGGTGACCACTGTTTCCCCAGGCGATGCTCGTCTCCCGGATGGGAGCGGGCGTCTGCCTGGCCTCTAGGGGTATGTTGTTGAGAGTGTGATTGGCATGCCTATTGTGTGGGAAGCGACTTGGTCCCTTCGACGTTAGCCTGTGTGTTGCACTGTTTGCGCTACGATTGGCGCTCCAGCAGAGAACTGCAGTAGTCGTGCACAGACCGTAGCAAGACGGGTGCTTCCGCATGGCCATTGGAAGCGTCGTGGGTAACAAACGAGTTTGGTCGTACTTCCTGGTCTATCTACCAGGGTTACATTTTCTGTTTGTTCCCCTTTCCAGCTGCCCCCCTCTTGGCCGGACTGGAAGACCGTTTCTTGTCCGCCAAGGACGGTTTGCTTGCCGCCTCAGCCGTCTCTTTTCCCGGCCCTCCGTCACCCTTGCTGCTGCTTTTGCCAGCCGGCTTTTTGTCCTTGCCTGCCCCGCCTCCGACGGCCTTGCTGCTACCTTTCTCAGCCCCCCTCTTCGCTCCCTTTCCTGTTGGTGATTTGCTCTTCGTTTTTGATTTGCTCCCTCCAGTCTTGCCCTTGTCAGCCCCGCCCCCTCCCTTGCCTCTCGATTTGGGGCGGCCTCTCTCCCCCTTTTTCTTTTTGCCGCCGCCGCCGGCAGCCGCGGCAGCGTCCTCCAGTGCTGCAGCTTCTGCCTCTGCCAGGGTGATCTTCCGCTCTGCTTCGAGTATCTCGAAGGCGCGAGATTCCAAATCAGCCTGCGCTTCAACATGTGACGGTCGTGAGACGGAAACACGGGCCAATCAGGAAAATGTTTTTTTTTTTTTGTAACGAGCACCTCCTGCAGCTAGTCGTTGAGGCTGCAGCAGCACAGGTGTCTACGAGCGTGCTCATCACGCCCCAGTAGTCATGACATCAACTGATCGAGGTGGAACCTCACCCGGCAAGGATAGGCAAAAACACAATGGACAAGTGCTATTTGACCATGATTTCCTTAGAAGCCTAATAACCAAACGCGTTTGACGGATCCCACCCATAGTTCGGTGCCTGCAAATCACCTCAAACATCCTTTTCGTGGCGATGATGTGGGCGTAAAGGTCTGGCTTGATATCGAGGCTCTGGAGCAGGTACGCCCCCAGCTCCTCGGTCTCCCGAGATGCGAATCCGGTTAGCATGTCCAGAAGAGTCGGCGTCGCCCTCTCGAGCTTCTCCGTTTGCAATCCGACCACTTCCACGGTTCTTAAGCATGCTTTGTCGGTGCGCTCCTCGGCGCAGGCAAGATCTTGCCTCGAGCGCTCCTCCACTTCAGCCAGTCGCTCTTCCAGCGCACAGTGCTTCATTTCCCACAGCTTTGCCTCTGTCATCGCTTCTTCTGCTAGCTTAGAGGCCTCGGCCGCCCTAGCAGTTAGCGCGGTGTTCTGCCCCTCTAGCTCGGCCACTTGGTTACTGTATCTCGTGCAAGCTTTCCGGTGCGTCTCCAGTGTCTTGCCTAAGCAGGACCCTAGCACATTCAGAAGGTTTCGTCTCCGACAACTGCCATCATCATGACCATGTCCCCAAGTCGCTCCTCTGTCGGTTCTTGTCTGGGACACTCCCTCCTCGTCGCCTTCTTCCAGTTTCATTTCGGTCAACACGGTCTGCCCCCAATCCTGTGAGTTGTTGCTCCCGGTTCTTTCGCTATCAACACGTGTAGACCCGCCGCCTTGGGGCCGAGGTGCTGCCCATGTTTGTTTCCCGTTCTCTTCAGGGTCTTCGTCCGAACCCGATTCTCCTGCTTTTCTTTCTTCGAGCCGCTTCCGCCCTTCCGCCTGATTCGCCGCAGCCAGGCCAAGATCGGAACCACCAACGGCACTTCCAAAGCCTCTCCGCGTTGGATGCGGGTTGTTACCGTGGCTATTGGGATCGTTGGCGCTACAGCCATTGACAACCTCAGGGTCGACGCCATCGAACCTCTCGGGGCCGGTGTCCATGCCGTCTAGAACCTCTCTAGCCATTACCGCTGCACTTTTGAGGGCCACGTGGCCCTCCTTGATCATGCCGTATAGAGTGCCTTCGAGCGTCAGCTGAAAAGCCCCGCGGTGGACCAAGCCTCCGACCACCTGATCGTACTTTGTCTGCTTTCGGTCGGTGGTGTGCGAGAACGGGCAGGTGGTAGAGTGGCAATTGTTTTCAGGAACTCATTCCGTCGAGCGCCGGGTCATTATCCGATAGATCAAACACACGTCATTCGCTCCTTGTAGCTGCACAGGCATCAACTGCCCAGGTCGGGGCTTATAGGGTGGCAAAACATGCGGGCGTGTCAGATTCCAAATGCTGATTCTGATAGACGCACCTACCTCCAGTTCGACGAACTGCTGCTCCATAATGGAGATGCTCTCGCTGCTGTGGTCGATGTTCGCCCGCAGCTGTTCCACTTCGTTGGCGAGGTAATTCACGTTGGCAACGAGAGTGCGGTGCAGGTCTCTCGAGACACTAAAATACTGAAGGACAAACCGATAGTCGTGCTGCTCCCGTGTCTTGTTCTCGGCCTCTTTGACGGCATCCTCTCGGAGTGCCAACCCCGCCCGGATGTTTCGGATGTCTCTGTCCTCCTGCATGAGGTTGTTGCGCTGCTTAACCTGCGTACGAAAAATGAGTAAAATTCGTGGGGTACCATGCCCATTGGTAGGGGTAGTCAAGGGTATGCATAGTTCGTCAATAACGGGAACCAAGACACACCTCGATGAGCAATTCTAGGTGATGTGTTAGTGTACAACTTCATCTGAGCTATCCTAAGTACACGTGTCAACTACACACATTGCCAACCCTTTCTGATCCACAAGCAACCTTGCCATATTCGCCTTACCCTTCGGTTCACAACTTTTTAACAATGTGTTATCACGAGCTGTTGAGCATCTCCGTTGGCATCGCAGAAGAGCACGAACCCCAACGACGGCGTCCTTTGACAGATAGCCCCCAACGGCGAGCCAAACGATTGTCACGTCACAGGGCACGGCGTTGTTCCACACAAAAACTTGCATTTTACCTCTCTTTTGGTGTAGAAAGGAACGAAGCCTGGCCGGACACTTGGGTCCAGCATACTTCTCCGCCAGTACCGCATCACGAAGTGCCGGGGGTCGTGCTCTCGGTCACGCAGTGGACACCCAACCGTGCGGAGGTACTCGAATAGCAGACCCTCCCAACAGAACTTCAGCACGTTCGCAAATCTTTTTCCCACGTGCCGTCCGCCTTCTCGGATGTAGTTCATGATCTGTCACACGATGGTACAACAGAATCACTCGTTGTCGGATGCTCTCGGCTTCAATGTAAAGGAGAGGGAAGGCAGTCGAGACCACACCAACTTTATGGTCTGCAACATCAACACGGGACGAGGTGATAGAAATCCACCCAACGTTGCTGCAAGCCTGAGAAAACAGGCCTCTCCACGGTTCTGCAAGCAATGAAGTCCACCTGAGTAGCGGATCGAGCTATGTCGTGCGCAAACGCATCGGGAAACACGCCGAACCGAACATACATGAATACATCTCGTTTCGTAGTCGGCCGCTCTGAAAAATGCACCCCGCACAAGGTAAACGGGAGGCGGTACGAGAGCACGAAATATTTCTGCACACATCCTCACACGTCGACCGACAGCGAAAAGTGTGTGTGAGTGCGCGAGGTAGATATCCACTTGGCACTTTCACACCTGCTGTTCCTTTGCATTTCTCGGGCATGGCACGACAAATCCCAGGGCCCCGAAGAGGCTGTTGATCTCGACCGCGTTGCACATCGAGAGCAGCGCCTCCATACCCTCTTTGCTGTCCTGTATGACGGGATCCGTGTCCAGGAAGGGATCATACTTGCGGTCGCTGTCGAAGTTGTTGAAGAGCTTGGAAGCCAGGCCGCCTCCCCCCCGGCCCGGTCTTGTCTCCGTTGTGTTCACGGGCATCTGGGTGTTTGTGAGAGATCGTGCGGGTTTATCTGGCGGATTCAGCCGGCTAGAGGTGACAATATGACACACACGATGTTGCAAGAAGGCACTAGCAAGCCGTTGCAGCTGGAAGCCAACACATGAAAAGTTGTCACGGTGTGTCTGCCAGGCAGGGGCACAACAATAAGCGGTGTGTACGCATCACATAAGCATACAACAGCACTGCTGTAAGAGCGTACCGCTGTGGCCTGCTGTTTGCCCGACATCTGCCGGAATCGGCACAGGTTCTGCCGCGGAACCAATTACAAAAAAAAAACAGCGATTGGCCACCACTACCACGCTAGAGAGGCGCCTGCTGCACACTGCAGCCTGCCTTTTCTTCCCTCCGTTGCTCCTAGACCACACCCGCGGATGCAAGCAACCCGAAAACTAAATGCCGCTGATAGCTCAAGCGGCGGCACCCAGAAACCTCCACATCCTACGGACGCAGAGGAAGAGGAACGCGTTCAGCAGCTAACCGCCGGCGAATTGACGTCGGCGGCCTCGTTCGGTGCTGCTGGGGACTGCGATGGGTATGATGCATCAAACCGCTTTCGTTCGAACGTTGAGAGCGTGGAGAAGCCCAGACAGATCGTTGTCCTTGTGGTAACCATCGCTGGAGCGAGCTACTTGGTGAGTAGAGAGGGGTGAGTGTGTGTGTTTTTGCTTGTGGGAGAACTCAATACCTATCTACATACATGTACGAGGGAGTATTGTTTTCAAATCGAACAGGGTGGCCGGTGACGCTGTGGGTAGCGTGTGTTCGTCTGGTCCGGTGTGTGCACTTGTCAAGCTTGGCTGTGCTTCATGCCATCGGATAGTGTCGGACCAACCCCCATTACTTTTGAAAGAGGTGCTGCACGGTTGGACGCTGTGCGTTCGCAGTCGAGACGACTAATACTATATGTATGCACACGTATGTTATTTATGCTAAAATACAGAGTTATCGAAAAAGTTCTCACTTTGGACTCTGTACGAGCGGCCGAACTTCGCGAAAAAGCGGTACAGCAGTATGTAGAATGGTACTGCTGCTGCTGTAAAGGCGCTGTAGGCGTCAGCGGTTGAACAGAGGCGGGGACACAGCTGTTCACAAGCACCAGATATAAAGGCAGTTGTTGGAACAGCTACATTTTTCTCGAGATAATGAAGGTACATAGCTCATACAACATAGCCTAGTCTCCTGAGAGCTTGGGCGAACCAAATCGCCCACAAGGGGTAAACATGTTTCAAGTACACAAACGACTTGAAGTTTCCCTCTTAGTGCGCTAGAGAGCAGCAGTCAAAGGCATCTGCATACACAGACTACGATCGCCAACCCTGTACAGGCGTAATGCCAGCACTATCCTCGTGCTGGCATAGATACTCATAGGGGGGTTCGATCCAATACCGTTGTAGTCGGAGAGATGGCACGGGGTGCCATCGTTTTTTTAAATGTTTGTTCCTCGAGTTTTTTATCGCACCCTGGTGCCATCTCTCCGACCGGTGCCATCCCTCCGACCTCGGTGCGCAAATGCAATTACATCGTTTCGTTTCGTTGTTTCAAGACACCACGGTGCGATCTCTTCGACCGGTGCCATCCCCGACGAAATACACACAGGTGTTATATGCACGCACCTCGGTGCCATGTCCCCGACCGGTACCATAGTACTGATACCAGTGTACCCACGCACACAGTCTTCTGCACACGCTAAATAGTTGACAATGCAATTGATCAGTTAGAACGACACATGTAGGTGCCATTGTTGCTGGTTGGAAGCACACCGGTAACGGTAACGTAGGCTGGTACGTAACAGCTTTCCATGCGGCGAGTGGACTTGTGTTTGAAGGCGAGTTTGGCTGTGGCGTGACAAGGATAACAAACGATGTGGTTTCCATCTGAGGCACCGGTACGTACGGTATCAGGTGTTTTCCGCTTCCTTTTCGGTCTTCTTCTACGGATACCAGTACGTACGCAGCAGTACAATAGATTCATGTTGTGTAAGGTGGGGTAGGGTGCGTCTTGTACCTTGTGGGTTTGGTTGTGTACGGTTTGGAATTTCCATACCAATTAAAACAAATATACAGGACACGAGTGCACTCCGCTGACACCGTCCCACGTGCAAAAGGTACGCACAACTACGTCATTCCGGCAGCTGAAAAGGAGCTCAATCTTGGAGTTGGGGGTCGGTGAGACCGCGCCCGGTGCGGTGCGATCTCACCGACCCCGGTGCGTAAATCGAATTAATTCATGCCGTTCTTTGTCTTTGCGCACCCCGGTACCATCTCTCCGACTATGACGGTAGATCCCAGCAAGGGCATCGATTCAAAAACAACCGACCTCATAATTTTGGGCACCCCCTGTGCGACGACTGCCGAGTGTGCGATACTGAACAGAATGACAGCGGCGTTCATTGGCACTGCATACGATACTGCTTTTTACCGGCACACCCTGTGCGAGAACTCCGATACGCGCGATGCTGAGGATAGCCACAGCGCTTAATACTGGAGCTACGAATGCTACTTCGACGTGCAGGTAAAATGGTGGTGACCAGCGGAGTAGACTATGAGCTTGGTAGTGGCAATCCGACGACGCCGCTGCCTGGTTAGTATGCATCCGCTTTCCCTTCCAGCTTCTTCTAGAACGATATCGTATTTTTCATGCGCAACTATTGCCTCCATTTTACCTTGTCTGAGCACTGCCGTCGTGAACCCCCCTCTACCCTCCCTTATCTTTCGGTGGTTCTTCTCCCACGCACTAAGGGCTTCGCCCAGAACGACTCCGATCCGGACGCGAACACGCGCGCGGCGTCCATGGGCGTCGGCTTTCTCTTCCTCGTGCACTGCTTCCTGCAGTGCCGAGACTCTCTCTTCGTCCGGCCGCACCCGGGCGTCTGGCGGATCGTCCACGGGGTCGGCATGCTCTATCTCTTCGCGCTGTCGGTGTTGCTCGTCCACCCGTGAGTTTTTTTCGAGTCTCGTGCTATTTTGAGTGGGGTTCGCCTCCTGTCGGTGTGTGTATGTGCTGCTCTAGCGGGCGAATCGCTGTAGAAGGAGCGTGGATTGGTGCCAGCTCGCCTGCGCCCTAGTATGTCGTTGGTGTTTTGTTAATGAGCAAAGAACCTCCTTGCTCTCTCAAGCACACTCCAAACACACGTGTTTTTCGTTGTGATGTTTTTCAGCTTCTTGTACGTTTGTGATGGCGTGGTTGCTAGCAATATGAGAGTACGTGGGTTGCAGTGTAACTTCTACACAGTTTAATAAACTGTTATCGCCACCAGTGAATGCCCACCAACAGCTCATGGTTCAATGTGTCAGCCTTCTCAAGGGCCACCAGTTGTTCGGGGCTCAAATTTTGGTACGACTGTCAAGTGTCAGTATCAACGTTTCTATCGTCAACCTTTCTGTCCGCGACGGTCTGTCTACCCGTCTCTGTCCTGCTTGTGTTTTCTTGTCTCGTGCTGTCGTGCTCCGTCGCTCCCCGCTTTCCCCCCTTTGTTGAAAAAATGCAGCAAGGACGAAGCGCAGCGGTTACTGGCCATCTTTATCCCTGATGTGAAAGGGTACACATTGTCCCGCTTTGAGGTCGGCTCCCTCGAGTGCGAGCTTTCGGCGAGCGCCGTCATTGGCCAGCTGCGGGAGGTTTGGTTCCTGGCGCACCTCGTGGGCTGGTGAGTCGCGTTTTCTAGTATACCAACCTTGAGTGTACGCCCCTCCCCCCCTCCCGTGGCAAGTAACGTATATAATGCAAGAAAACTCTCTTCGGTGGTGGCGTTTTGGCTTGTGGAGTATACCGAGTGTGTTGTCGTGGGGGGAAGGTGGAATTCAATGTCCACCTACTCGTCTACGTTTGATTTGATATTGTAGGTTTTGGGTTCATGTTGACCCGTACAAGTATTGCCATCGGGTGTGGTTTTTTGTATCGGGGGTGTTATTTTATGTGCGTGGGTTATCCTGCGTCTTGTACCGTAGATTAAATGCTGCCCTTACCAGTCAGCGCTGCCTATTGTTGCGATATGCCTATTTTTGCGAGTCCCCCCCCCCCC